TACATCGATGTCTGTGGGTAACCGTTGATATAGAGGTACATATGTCCGGACATGTTCATGGTAATAAATATCCTTAGTAATCCATAAATGTTTATTATAATCCATTAAAGTACATAATATACCAAAAGTATCCACAGCCACCACTAAGCTTCACTGTTAAAATTTTGGTGAAATTTCTTCTCAAAAATAAAGTGAAATTATATTAAAGATGCCACATACGAAATTAGTTTTGTGCATTTGGACGTCCTCATGATGGTCCCTGTTTAGAACTCGACCAGCATCCATGGCCCCACTTTCTTTCGGATACAACCAGTAGTTGTCATGACCAGCGAGAATCTAAATTGGAGGTAATAAGAAGTATTTAATTACATGGCTTCAACCGAGAATTATCATAGTGATAAAATACTTATTTTCATTATATGCAGTACCGATAGTCTTGTATTTGCCTGCAAATTAATATAAATATTCTTAGGGGTGCACCAGAACCAGTTTTTTAAGTTCCGGCTGGAACCGGATCCGACCGGAACTGGAAAAAAGTTCTGGCCGGAATCGGAACTAACTTATTAAGCCATATATAGTCATATGTTACTTTGTCCGCTGCATACACTTCAAGTCATCAAGACTTAACTCTCTTCATTGCCACATGATGCAATCATGAACGCGGAGAGTTATAAAAATGACAACTCTCTAACATTTTCATAATGTTAACGAGAGAGAGAGAGTTGTGTAAAACATAACTCCCTCATGTTAGTTCAAGGAAACGTCGGGAGACGGGGAGAGTTAAGAAATTGGGTGTGGTCATTGGGAAAAGTGGGTGTGGTTTGAACATAACTCTCCGAGATACAGTAACTCTCCACTTCATAACTCTCTGTTTAGCTGGTCATGTTTTCTTGCCCGACCAACCAATAATAGCATTATTAATTGGTTTAATTACCCATGCAGTTGTGATATTACACAATGGTTGAAAACAATGAAAACATAACTACTTCCATTTGCGTTCAAGCTTGAAGCGTGCAAATTTTTTCACGTTTGTTTATGTTTTAAACGCAATGTTCCAGGGGGTAATCACACCCTTTTGACCAACAAAACCGGTCGTTTGAACCATGCAACGGTTATTATTCGTTACATAATATGTCATGTTTTGTTTGAATTCCAATGACGTTTGTACATTTTTGTGCTGTAAATCCCTATTAAAAAACTCGTTAATAATTCATGAAGAAAACACAAAGAAAAATCATAAGCGTGTCGTATCTGTATATGTGATACAGATTCATGTTGATTTACATAAACTTTAACTTTGATTTTCTCGGCTTAGACAACGTTTATTTTTAAAATTACTTTGCCAATGAACTCATAAGATGAGCAGTTTTTAAAGTTGTTTACAACATTCGCGTCCGTGTAAATCGGATATACAAACTCTCGCCTAATCGGCTCGAGTTTGTATATCCGATACAACACGGCCGCTCATGTTGTAAACATTACATTAATTCAGCTACAAAATGTAAATAATTGATTGTATAGTATTTACTGTAGAATCACGAGAATACAAGAATAAAAGTATATTCTTCCACAATCAATATTTTTATATTTCCAAACGATTCAATTTTATCGGCCAAACGGGCGTGATATCCTTTGAAACGTTACATTTGAAACGTAAATAAACCTGAACATTTTTGCACGCTTCAAGCTTGAACGCAAATGGCAGTAGCTTTTGGTTGCTTTAGCAAAAATACAATACACAGGTGACGATGAACCGATCATTTCTTGCATAAACCAAGACAAAAACATGTAGATAATGAAGTCCATTATGTCTGCATCAAGTTTCCTAACTTTCTTATTCTATTCCCATGTGAACAGTCTTTACAACTACATAAGCCAAGTGGGTGAAGCCTGCAAAGGCATACCGTAAACCTCCGACTATAAGCCTCGGGCTTATATTCTTTCATATGCGATTTTTGATGGGATTATACAAGGGAGAGGTTTATATACGGGGGCTTATACATGGACGATCTTTTGTGTTAGTGTACTGTAATAGTGATAAACAAGTATAGTAATAATGATAAACAAGTGTTAAGCACAGTAATAATAGTGATTAATAGTGATAAACAAATGGGCTTATATTCGGGGAAGGGGGAAGTGGCTTATATTTGGAATGAGGCGAGTGTTGTGGTGGGCTTATACAGTACACGGGGGAGCTTATATTCGGAGGTTTATGGTATACAAAATCACATTACAAATTGCAGAAGAATATATATTATATATACCTTGTGTAATGATGGTGTTTTCCTGAGCAACTACTTTATGCAAACTAGAAAGCATTCTTCATTTCCATGGTTAGTGTCTTAGTACTGTCTGATGTGGTTTGACAGGTTCTTGTATCCCAACTTGGCACATTCAATAGAATCCGATGATGATGATAGGTTATCTTCCTTTGGTGTTTCCAACACTGTCAAGACTGTGGCGATGTGGATTGAATATTGTCTCTGGTGCTGCATCTGTTGTGACTTAACAATCTTCCAAATTTGGAATAAACAGAATTAGTTGATCAATGCTCATAGTTTGCAAATGAATGAGTTAAAGTCTACAATGCAGATTAGTAATCACTGTGGTTTTGTCACTGTTGTGCACTGATTATTGGTTCTAGTGCGACTTGAATTCAGATGGTTAGCAATCGAGTTAAGGTCTATAATGCTGCTGACGTTCTGCATTTGTCCTCTGTCATTTTTACTTCCGATTGCTTGGCATCTCTTCGAGTCCTTTCTCTACTATTTGCCTTCAAACTGATCGGTCTTGACACAGCTGACAGTCTGTGAAGACTCTAAAAAGAGTTGGATTGTATATTGTTAGTTATAAAATATTTCCACATCAATGATGGTCTCTCGATCCAGCCGAGTCATGGGCTCGTGACACACATGTTCATCATGCAGCTATTTAAAGGCCTAAAAGGTTCGTTTTAAGTGACAGGGAAACCAGAGTATCCAGAGAAAAACCTTCAAACATGTCCACACAATTGGTCCCCCCCCCCTTTTGGTCACCCTAGGGATGCCTGTGGTCCCCCTTTACATGTTTTAAGAAAAGAGATGAATGCCTTGAGACCAGATTGCATTTATAGTAGTAAATTTCCAACAATATAATCTTTGATAATAATTATGATATGTTGTTGCATTTACTAACTATATTACTGTCTTAAAATTTGTAAAGTACTTTTATATGTTATAAATGTATTTTTAATTGTTAGTTTAATATTTTTGTAAAATAAGCTTTAGCAATACATTGTAATAGACCTTATGCATAATGACGTCACAAGGCTTCAGATGCCCGTGAGGAATGCTGGTCTTAGTAGTCATTGCCTGGGAAAATTTAACAATTCAAAATGGCCACTATCAAAATTATTAGAGAATTTTTAAAAGGACATGAAACAGTGTACAATTTAAGAAATCATGGAACATTGATCCAACCGGTTTATAACAATTTATATTATCATAACTCTTGACTGATTAGTCATGTGTGGAATATAAGCTCCCACAAAACATTAAATGTGCAACAACAGTCGGACATTTTAAGGCAAATTGTTAAAAAGCTTGATGCTAGAGGACATTAAGAAAGGCTGCACTTTTAATAGATGTCTATCTTAAACTATACGTACTTTTGAACTATTCCTATATTGCAGGTATCTATTAATAATTCTAATATCCTAAGGTTTTTGTATATATATAGTTGTAATAGTTAATGTTGAGCACTTTTAACATGAGCCTCTGGCTCGGAAGATTGGGCGACCACTTCCTGCGTTTTTCGACTTTAAATAAATCATTATCATTAAATAAATCATTTCCCAGGTGATGACTACTAAGACCAGCATTCCTCGCGGGCATTAAGCCTTGTGATGTCATTATGCATAAATAAGGTCTATTAACTAGGGCATGCAAATAAAGCAATAAATTAGCAAATAGCATATTTTACAAAAATCTTTAAAAACATGTATTTATCAGTCAAAACTAACTGTTTTCATGAGAGAAATTGTTTTTAGACAACTTACAGCGAGTTTCAGAAAGTGCCCTCAATGCCATCTTTTATGGCCCAGTCAACCGCCGGTGCTGTTCAGGTCCACAAAACACACTGTTTCCCTCGGTCTCAATAAATGAATTTAATGAATTTAATCAGCACGAATGACGTGGACGTCGTGAATTTAACACAATGAAAGCTCTCCCGCCGTTTCTGTTCAACGGGGCCTTTACCTTTACATGCATGTTCAATCCGTCTCTTAGTTTACTTGACATGTTCAGTTTCAGGAAAAAGAGCCACGTTTACTCAAACTCTCTGAAGCGGCGACTATTTTGAATTTCGAGTTAACGATTCAGTTTAATTTTTTGCTTGCCGGAATCCCTTAATAGCAAGTTTGAGTTCACGATGTTCTATTAGTCATCATGATTACAATTTTGGAGGTGGGTGCCCTGCATGGCAGGGCTGTAAATACTCGTTACAATTGTAAGGCGTTACTGTGTACTTGTTACATTTCTAGTAATTTTAACCTGTAATTACAGTAATTACCTTTTTAGAAATGTAACGAAAAACGTAATTAATTGCAAAAGCAAGGAACGCGTTCCTTTTCCAAGGAGCAAATTGAAAATTCCTTTTTTTTCTTATTTTGTTTAAATAAGAAATAAAAAATACAACATTACGACAAAATTCAGAAAAATGGCTGAAATAATTTTCACCCTTACGAAAAAAGTCTAAAGGCCTAGCCTATAGGCCAACCTATAGGTTCCTATAGGAAACCTATAGGTTTTTATAGACAATTGGAACATTTTCTATAGGTGACCTATTGGGATGCCTATAAGCCTATATAGCTCTATAGGTGCTTAAAGGCTTCTATAGGGAATTGGAACATTTCCTATATAGGCACCTATAGGCCACCTATAGACTTTTTTTGTAAGGGCAACGATATCACATGACATGATAGCCTACTGATGAAGTACCATTTGTTGCAAAATTGGAAACCACAATTTGTTCCGAGGTTCAGAGCGCCAAATATTGGCAAATAAAGTTTTAAGTTTACATGCTTCGATTTGCATGTCAAATATTTTAATATATTGAAATATCATCTTGATACATTTCGATAAATTCTTGCAAATTTCATAGTTTATACCGTTTTTATTTACAACTACTGTTTAAGATATTGTCTTTTATTATACAGGGTGTATCAAAAAAAGTAAGACAATTTTGAAATTGCTCTCAATTCCACAATTCTGTTCATGAAATGTAATTTTTTATATGTATGGATTGCTTGAGTTCTTAAATTATGGAAAATATAAAAAAAATTGAAAATAGTAAATTTTGCTGTCCAGGGGGGTGGTCAACTTTTGCTCTCCTAAAAGTGGCTTGCGCACGGAAATGACAAACGGTATTCTTTATTTGAGTTCATGTATGAAAAGTTCGCTATTTTTTGCATTCATGATAAAATTTCGGCAGGATTTTACCGAGTACAAATCCTCCGAAAAGCCAATGAAAACATTACATTTTTCTCTGTTGGTGCTGTTCTTGCTTCATTATAAATTCATTTTTACTCCCATGAGAGTTCCGTGGAATTTCCATGGAATTTCCATGGAATTTGTGCTTTCGAGTTGTTTGTGCTGAAACGCATTCTCTCGTATAATACCCCGTACACTTTGAAATGGCGATGTCACAATTTACCCCGCAGCAGAGAGCTTTTATGGTATCATGCAGAGTTCCTCCGTAGCAACAACATAAACTTGGTTCGCCAAAGTTTCACGAACGAATATCCAGATGTACGATGCCCTTCACGTATTCGCATCGTACATCTGGATATTCTTTCGTGAAACTTTGGCGAACCAAGTTTATGTTGTTGCTACGGAGGAACTCTGCATGATACCATAAAAGCTCTCTGCTGCGGGGTAAATTGTGGCATCGCCATTTCAAAGTGTACGGGGTATTATACGAGAAAATGCGTTTCAGCACAAATAACTCGAAAGCACAAATTCCATGGAAATTCCATGGAAATTCCATGGAACTCTCATGGGAGTAAAAATGAATTCATAATGAAGCAAGAACAGCACCAACAGAGAAAAATGTAACGATTTCATAGGCTTTTAGGAGGATTTGTACTCGGTAAAATCCTGCCAAAATTTTATCATAAATGCAACAAATAGCGAACTTTTCATACATGAACTCAAATAAAGAATACCGTTTGTCATTTCCGTGCGCAAGCCACTTTTAGGGGAGCAAAAGTTGACCACCCCCCTGGATAGCAAAATTTACTATTTTCAAAATTTTTTATATTTTCCATAATTTAAGAACTCAAGCAATCCATATATAGCAAAAATTACATTTCATGAACAGAATTGTGGAATTGAGAGCAATTTCAAAATTGTCTTACTTTTTTTGATACACCCTGTATAAAGTATAGTGCTTTATAGAGATTTCGAGCACTGATAAAAGTGATAATCTCACATGTGAGATTATTCATGATAATCTCACATGTGAAAATGATCGCTTTTCAATTATCACTTTTCTGCAAAATTATCGCTTTTCAAAGAGTGTCCTTTATATAATAAACAGAAAAATACATGGGTGCTTGGAAATACCAGATTTATTTCTCGTGTTCAACATGACATCTTACTCGTTCGCTGCGCTCACTCGTGAGATATCATGTCCAACACTTGAAATAAATCTGGTATTTCCGCGCACCTGCATATTATTCTCTATACAGGGTGTCCCAAAAAAAAAAGAAAAACCATTGAAATAACGTATTGTTAAAATTTGAATGCCCCAGCACTAAGCTGAACACAAAGATGCGTAAAATATTGACAAGGGTGCATATATTAAATATCGACTTATTAAGAAATTAAAATATCTTTGTAAAGCGCACGATTTTCTGCTCTTTGTAATTTAAAACAGCATCTTAAACGGTTTCTTTATGCATAAAATTTACTTACGTCAAGCTTTTATGCACATGTGGGTTCAGCAGAGTGTACCCTGGTTCCAGAGGTTAAATTTTATTATTTGCATTGCGAAGGGGAGAGGACAAATAAACCTCTGGTTGAAAGCAGGCAATTAATTCATCGAGCAGCGCCAATCAGTTTGAATGAGGGTCAGATCCTGACTCTGTCTCCTGATTGGATGATTGTACTGGGTCATTCCAGAAAAGAACCATACCACCAATCTCCTACGCAGCCTGTTCGCGGGTCCGAGGTTTTCTCCCCACTAACAGGCTGCTTACTGCAGCAACACATTCCATTCCGATTGTTTCAACTTGACCAATCAGGAAACGGCATGACGTATCTTCCCGCCAAATTCAGTAGTGACTAATTAATTGTTCAGTGCTAAATATATCTCAGTGTTTACTGCTGTTAAAATATATTACACGCGCCTGTTTGAAATAATCAACTTGTTTATATTCTGTATGACGGGAGAAGTGCCCTTGGTATAGCTGATCTGATCAAGGTATCAGTATAAAATGTTGATGTGAACAATATTCTGACAGTAACGATTTATTTATTTGCAAAAACGTCTGTTATGAAACGGCTGTTGTCTAGTTGAGGCTGAAAGTTACACTATTATCATTAAAGACACAATCCATGGACCCAGCTTTTATCGTCCCATATTTCGTTCCTACTCCTTGGAAAGGTGAGTAAAACTGTATGTGATACCTACAATACATTGGGGAAAGCGTTACTGTGTGGACCTCTATATACGGCAGCCGGGCAGTAATATGAAATGCAACCCGTCCGCAAGGTGGTTACACAGAAAGTGCTTGACATCGTTTCCCAGGAAGTTAGCGATTTGTGTTTTAGAAAGAAACTCTCGA